CGACAGAGGCCCCGCTGCAGACGCTTCACATGGACGTGTGGGGCCCGGCCCGCGTTCGTGGACAGGGTCACGAGCGCTACTTCCTGCTGGTGGTTGATGACTACTCGCGTTACACCACAGTCTTCCCCTTGCGCAGCAAGGGTGATGTCACTGAGGTGTTGATCGACTGGATCCGCGCGGCTCGTCTCCAGCTCAGGCAGAGCTTCGGCTCGGACTTTCCTGTTCTGCGTCTGCACTCTGACAGAGGCGGAGAGTTCTCCTCTGGCCTTCTGCGAGCCTACTGTCGTGCACGAGGCATCCGCCAGACCTTCACGCTTCCGGACTCTCCACAGCAAAATGGGATTGCTGAGCGCCGCATTGGCATGGTCATGGACGTCGCTCGTACGTCCATGATGCATGCGGCTGCCCCCCATTTTCTGTGGCCGTTTGCGGTTCGGTACGCGGCGCATCAGATCAACCTTCAGCCCAGGGTCTCCATGCCGGAGACCTCCCCAGCTTTGCTGTGGACGGGGAAGGTTGGCGATGCGTCTGCGTTCCGTGTCTGGGGATCTCGGGCGTTTGTCCGCGACTTGTCTGCGGACAAGCTGTCCCCTCGTGCTGCTCCCTGCGTCTTCCTTGGCTTCCCCCCTGACGCGCCAGGGTGGCAGTTCTACCACCCCACCTCTCGCCGTGTTCTGTCCTCCCAGGACGTCACGTTTGACGAGTCGGTCCCCTACTACCGTCTCTTCCCCTACCGCACTCCGTCCCTCCCCCCGCCACCGCTCTTCCTTGTGCCAGGTCCCCCCCCGGTAGACCCCCTTCCCCCTCAGGGTCCTGCCCCTTCAGGTGTGTCCCAGGTAGACGCAGTTGAGCCTGTGGAGGTTGCTGGTGACTCTGGTGCTGCTGAGGGTGCTGAGCCTGGGGGTGCTGACTCTGGGGGTGCTGAGCGTGTGGGTGCTACGCCTGGGGGTGCTGAGCCTGGGGGTGCTACGACTGGGGGTGCTGAGTCTGGGGGTGCTACGCCTGGGGGTGCTGAGCCTGGGGGTGCTACGCCTGGAGGTGCTGAGCCTGGGGGTGCGGAGCCTGAGGGAGTTGGGCCTGCTCGTGTGGCGTCTGGCGGTGCTGTGCCTGGAGGTTCTCCGGGTGCTTCGTCTCGGCGGGAGCCACTCTCTCCACAGGAGCTGCGCGAGTGGTTTGCCCGGCGTGCTGCTGGAGCTGGAGGTTCTTCGGCTGCTGAGGGTGCTGGTGCCGCGGGTCCCGGAGGTGCTCGTACTGGGAGTACTGGAGCTGCTGGGCCTGCGGGTACGACTGGAGCTGGAGCTGCTGAGGGTGTTGGCGCTGAGGCTACTACTGTCGGTCCTGGAGGCGGTCCTGCTGGGGGTACTACTGGTGCTGCTGGAGGTACTGGAGCTGGAGGTGCTGCTGGCGCTGGTGCTACCACTAAGGGTACTGGTGCTGTCCCTGCTGTGTCTGGAGTCGCTGCGCGGCCTCGACCGTACTTCGTTCCGCTCCTTGAGCAGGTTCTTGGTCTCCCGCCTTCTACTGGTCCTCCTCCTCCCTTAGAGTGTCCACAGCCTGTCCCGTCACAGTTACAGTTACAGCCGGCCTCCCCACTGCCTGCTCCTTCTCCCTACACTGGTCCTACTGGAGGTCTTGCTGAGCGTCGTGAGCCTGCGTCTCGCCCTGCGTCGCCTGTCCGTGCTGCTCGCACTAGTGGTCGTGGTTCGCGTCAGCGTCCTCCTCCTGTCCCTGGCACGCACCGGATGTCTCTGCGTCCGTCCACTGCTCCTCTGCGTGCCCCTTTGCCTTCTCCTCCTGAGTCCTCTCTTCCTGCTCTTCCTGACCCGGAGTCGGACTCTCTTCGTGCTGCCAGTCCTACTGTCACGCGTCTCCTTGCTACTGTTGTCACTGACCCTTCCTTTGAGTCCACTGCTGCGTCTGCCCTAGTTGCTGAGCTCGTCGACTTTGCTGCTCGCTGTCGTCTAGACTACGCTGCTAGTCTTGTTGCTGAGTCTGAGTCTGTCTGTCCTCCGTCCGTCGGGGGTGAGTGTGCCCTTGGCACGGACGTCCTTGAGGACAGGCAGGAGGAGTTCCAGTGTTTGGCTGCTGCTTCACCTCATCTCGTGTCTGTACTGCTTACCCCTGAGGGAGACCCGGATGCACTTGACATCCCGACTCCGCGCTCTTACGCGGAGGCGATAGAGGGTCCCTACTCCTCTCAGTGGCAGGCAGCTATGGACGCAGAGATAGCTTCCTGGAAGTCCACAGGCACCTACGTTGACGAGGTTCCCCCGCCTGGGGCGAACATCGTCAGTGGCATGTGGATATTCAGGGTGAAGCGGCCGCCGGGTTCTCCGCCTGTCTTCAAGGCGCGTTACGTGGCTCGTGGCTTCAGTCAGCGGCAGGGAGTTGACTACTTTCAGACCTTCTCTCCCACCCCGAAGATGACCACTCTTCGGGTACTGCTGCACATAGCTGCTCACCGTGACTACGAGCTGCACTCTCTTGACTTCAGCACTGCTTTCTTGCAGAGCAGCCTGCACGAGGAGATCTGGCTGCGTCGCCCACCTGGCTTCACTGGGTCTTTTCCTCCTGGCACCCAGTGGAGCCTCCGCCGGCCAGTCTACGGTCTCCGCCAGGCACCGCGTGAGTGGCACGACACACTGAGGACTACACTTGCGGCTCTTGGGTTTGCTCCCTCTACTGCCGACCCGTCGCTGTTTCTGCGCACCGACACTTCTTTGCCGCCGTTCTACATCCTCGTGTACGTCGACGACTTGGTCTTTGCCACAGCTGACACTACTGGACTAGCCCACGTGAAGTCCGAGCTGCAGAAGAGACACACGTGCACAGACCTGGGTGAACTGCGCAGCTACCTTGGCTTGCAGATCACCCGGGACAGAGCACGCCGCACCATTACCCTGACTCAGTCACACATGGTGCAGCAGGTCCTTCAGCGCTTCGGCTTCACGTACTCCTCGCCTCAGGCCACTCCTCTGCCTACTCGCCACTCGCTCTCAGCTCTGCCTTCGGATGAGTCCGTAGAGTCGAGTGGCCCGTACCTAGAGCTTGTTGGCTGCCTCATGTACCTGATGACCTGCACACGACCTGACCTTGCATACCCTCTTAGCATTCTCGCACGCTATGTTGCTCCTGGGAGACACAGACCGGAGCACATGGCTGCAGCGAAGAGGGTGTTGCGCTACTTGTGCAGTACGTCGGGCATGGGGCTTGTGCTTGGAGGGCAGAGTCCAGTGGTCCTCACTGGGCACGCAGACGCTTCTTGGGCTGACGACCAGGCTACGCAGCGGTCGTCACAGGGTTACACCTTCAGCCTTGGTTCCGGCTCTGTTTCGTGGCGGGCTACCCGCTCGTCTTCTGTTCTCGGCTCCAGTTGTGAGGCTGAGATCTACGCAGGAGCCATGGCTGCACAGGAGCTTCGCTGGCTCACCTACCTGCTGACTGACCTCGGAGAGCCGCCTCGTTCTCCTCCAGTGCTGTACGTAGACAACAAGGCCATGCTGGCCTTGTGTCGGGAGCAGAGACTGGAGCACAGAACGAAGCACATTGCTCTTCGCTACTTCCTTGCTCGTGAGCTACAGCAGCGTGGTCAGCTGCGCCTTGCGTACGTGGCCTCTGAGGCCAACACTGCTGATATCTTCACCAAGGCACTTGCGCCTTGTGATCATCAGCGATTCTGTACTCAGCTGGGTCTTGTGCCTGCCTTGCCTCACTTGCTCACCCCTTGACCTTGTTTGTATTCTTATATATATACATACACCTGCCCTTGCTTGTCTAGCCTTATATGTATATGTAATCCTGCATGTGAACTGGCCTTGTGGCCTTGAACTTGTGCTCGGAATGTGTGGTGACTTTGTGATCCACCCTGAGCTTGCTTTGCTTTACTTGACTGGTCTTGTGACCCCTTGTTCTCCCCCACTTTGCCTATGGGGGTGTGTCAGATTTATATGACATAGCTGCTGTAGGCTATAGTGGGGTAGCACATATGGGGTACAACTTTCTAGGGTTTGTACTTGTACCCAACTTTCCCTTAGTCATTCCCATTCCTCGTAATTCTCACAGTTCGCCGCGGGTGGTGGGACTGCGTCGACGTAGGTGCCTGTGGACCTATAAAATGTCATCTCTGCCTCCTTAGCTGCTATCCAGTACGAAGCCCATGGTCCCGAGCAGGCCTGTCGAAGTACCTGGGGCCCATACTTGCGCTCCCCAGCTCCTCCCCATCTGACCCTGTTTTGGGTGTAGCTGACCGTTTTGGCGCCCTTAACGGTAACGGGGGCGATCCAAAATGAAAACTTGAAATCAGGGCTCGTTAAATTTTTGCACTTAATACACCATGCAGTTAACTGGATCTACTAGAACAAAAAGTAAAATGTACTAGCCTAGCCACTAACTACTTAATACACCTGTCATAAATCCTCCCTAGCATGCAATGTTCCACTACTCTGCTCTAACTACACATTTAGCCTGCAATGTTCCCTACTCTAACATGCAAGCCTATTTGGCAGGCTTCCTCCCCTTCCTCCCCTTTGCCTAAAAAATGGCATAGGCCTCCGCCCAGTCCACTGGGTAGTCAAGCATTTTCACAGTCATCAGCTCCCCCAGCCTCACATCAGTAAGAGCAACACGATCCCACGACTTAATAATGTTATGCCTGGAGAAGCCCCTCTCGCACTCAAAAGTGCTGAGGGGCAACACAGAAACCGCACGCCAGAGAGAGACAATGGTGGGGTAGTCATCCCTCCAGTCTGCCGTGCGCAGCATGTTGGTGAGCGCCTGATGGAAGCTCTGCTTCTTGAACTTCTATTCCATGGTTGCTGTAAAGAGGCGCATCTGCGGCTCTATGTCAGCAAGAGCGACTCCTGCCAAAGTCAGGATGCAAGGTTAGAACAAATCAACTTGGCGCTTAACAATGGTTTGCTACTATACGCTTGGAACTTACCAGGGAGCTGATTCTTGAACATGTCAAGGAGCTCTGACAGATGGAATTTCAGCCAAGCGTCCTACTCTCCTGCACATACGGAATAACGATCAGGGCTGAAAAAACCAACACCATCAAAATGGCGCAGGTTTGCCATCCTCTTCCCCAGGGCCTTGATCAGGCGCTGAGCGAACCGCCTGGCCAGGTCCACGCAGGACTCCAAGTCGCATCCCCCACCGTCACCGTCACCGTCACCGCCACCGTGGACGATGGCGTCCTCGTGAAGCTCGACAGTGGCAGTCGCAGGACTGCCGCTCTCATCCACTCCCTTGAGCTCCAGCTTGCGCTTGTCCTTGCTGCCGTGTGCAGCAATGAACGTGTTGAGGCGAGAGTCGTTCGGCCCATTGGATGCGCCGGGCTCAACATAGTACTGCGACAGCTTGGTCTTCACCTTGTCGACATGATTCTTCACCTCTGTGATGTCAATGTCAACCTGAAAGCAAACAGAGAGACACATATTAGAGCCAAGTAACCAAGACACGAACGCACAAGGGCGTGTACATGTCAACCTTACCGTCTTCTTCTGGAAGGCAAGGTTGAGTCCGTTGAGCAGCTGCAGCACGTCCGCCAGAAGATACAGCATGAAGTGGAACTTGAAGCTGGTTGCGATTCTCTTCGTCTTGTCCTCCTTGTCCTTTGTCCACATCCACATCAGCACCGGCAGCACGTCACAAAAGCGATGCACAGCATCCCCGCGAGACAACCAGCGGACAGCACAGAAGCCTTGCACCTCCAGGTGCGTTTGCAGAATGACATCCTGCAGGTGCATGTAGGTCTTGTGATCGGTTGATGAACGCCCGAGACGCTCTGCAGTCTGGCGTATCATCTGGTCGACGATGTTGAATTCAGGGAAGCTCTTCGCGGCATCTTTAGCAGCCAACGCCTCGCTGCACAAGCACGACACGTACGTGAGTATGGTTGGGGATTGGAGAGTAAGAACAAACCAGTGCAATGCACACTTACCGATGCGCCACGCAGTGGATTGCCACCAGCCACGGGCACCGTTTCCGAAGCAGGGCGACGACTCCGTTCCTCGCGCCAGTCATGACAGAAGCTCCATCCGTTGACACTCCAACAAGCTTGTCCAGCGATAAGTCCTTCGAACCGAGAAACTTAACGATCGTGTCGTGCAGTGCTGTGGCGTCGCAACGGTCGACCGCCAGGTGAGCAAGAAATTGGGTCACGACGGCCTCGTTTCTCTCAAACGTGATGTACACAATGAGGTGCTTCCCTCGGGCACGATCCGTGGATTCATCGAAAGAAAGACCATACCTGGCCGACTCTTTGATGTCCACAAGCAGCCGGCCCGCCAGATGCTCCGCCATAGCCTCAATGAACTCGCCGAAGGCGTACCTGCAGTGATCAACGCATGAAACATTGTCAGGATTTTAACCACAAAAGAACTAGGAAACTAGGAAACTTCCGTGACAAAACACACGTACCTCGAGTAATAACGACCGTAGGATTCGCTGTTCATCATGTTGGGGCATCCTTGCTCCGCCATGAACCGCACAAGCATGGGGTAGAGAGCGATAGGTGCATCGTTCCGCGCACACCAGGAGGCCCCTTGCATGCACTTGATGACCCTCGCCATCACAGGGTCGGTGCTCAGCATGTCCAAGAGGCTGCGCTGCCTCACCTCCGTGCCTTGAGCGAGTCGTTCAGCTTCCATCGCCGCGAGGTGCACTTTGGACTGGTCATGGTTGCGGCACGCCGACTTCTGAAAATCTCTTGCACCGACGCCACAACACCCAAAGGGAGACTTGGTGTTAGGAGCGAACATAGAGCACACGGAACACTTCATACCATACTTGCGCTGAACAGGATTGTACTTTAGGCTCAGCCACGAATACGTCTGCTTCCACGACGGTACCTGCCCCTGCTGCTGCTCCTGTGGCTCCTCCTCTACCCTCTCCTCCTGCGGCTGCAGCTGCACCCGCTGCTGCGACCGGGACTCCTGCGCTACCCTCTCCTGCTGCGGCCGTGACTCCTCCTCTACTCTCTCCTGCTGTGTCTTTAACTGCACCTGCTGCTGCGGGCGGGACTCCTGCTCTACCCTCTCCTGATGCGTGAGGACCAAAACGCTCACGGTGGAGGTCGTCGAGGCGACGGTAGCAGTGGGACGCAGAGTGGTCAGGACTCCAGCAGGTAGTGCCAGCACTAGGGCCTGTCAGGGCCCGGTACCCGCAGGGGCCGACGTCTCGCCCACTGCTAGCTGAGCCACTGCTGGGGGCACCACACTTTGGACCTGCAGGTCCCCACTGCCGGGAGTGCTGCGGCTGGCCCTGCTGCTGTAGAACCCTTGTACACGCCATGTGAGGAGCTAGAAACGGGGGGGTGCTTACAGGTGGGCCTAAGCTGCTGCTGGTGCTGCTGGCGGCAGCCTAAGGTGCTGCTGGTTCTGCTGTGGGGTGGGGCTGCCTAAGCTACTACTGGTTCTGCTGGTGGCAGCCTATGCTGCTGCTGGTTTTACTGGGGGCAGCCTAAGCTGCTACTGGTTCTGCTGGTGGCAGCCTAAGCTGCTGCTGGTTCTGCTGGTGGCAGCCTATGCTGCTGGTTTTTCTGGGGGGCAGCCTAAGCTGCTACTAGTTCTGCTGGTGGCAGCCTAAGCTGCTGCTGGTTTTACTGGGGGCAGACTAAGCTGCTACTGGTTCTGCTGGTGGCAGCCTATGCTGCTGCTGGTTTTACAGGGGGCAGCCTAAGCTGCTGCTGGTTTTACTGGGGGCAGCCTAAGCTGCTACTGGTTCTGCTGGTGGCAGCCTATGCTGCTGCTGGTTATACTGGGGGCAGCCTAAGCTGCTACTAGTTCTGCTGGTGGCAGCCTAAGCTGCTGCTGGTTCTGCTGGTGGCAGCCTATGCTGCTGCTGGTTTTACTGGGGGCAGCCTAAGCTGCTACTGGTGCTGCTGGTGGCAGCCTAAGCTGCTGCTGGTGGCGGGTTTCAGCGCGTGGGGCAGTGCGCTTCAGGTGGGGCGGCGGTTTCAGGTGTAGGGCAGTTGGTTTCAGGTGTGGGGCGGCGGGTTCAGGTGTGAGGCGGCGGTTTCAGGTGTGGGGCGGCGGGTTTCAGGTGTTAGGCGGTGGGTTTCAGGTGTGAGGTGGCGTTTCAGGTGTGGGGCGGCGGGTTTCAGGTATAAGGCGGCGGTTTCAGGGGTGGGGCAGCGGGTTTCAGGTGTGGGGCGACGGGTTTCAGGAGTAGGGCGGCGGTTTCAGGTGGGCCGGCGATTATGGCAGTGGGCGACGGGTGGGGAAGGCCGCGGCTAACGGCCGCACGTGCGCACGGCTGTTGCTGGGCGTGCGTTCGACCGCGACGTACGCGCGCAAAGCTGCGCGTGCGGCTAAGTCTGCGCGAGCAACTACGCGCGTGCGTCTGCTGCGCGCTAGTGGGCTGGGGGGGCAATGCGCAGGGTAAACGAGTGGGGCGCGGGGCAGAGAACCGAGTGACGCACGGGGCAAAAACGGGTGGGGCGCATGGCAGAAACGGGTGACGCGTGGGGGCAACGGGGGGCGCGATCTACGGGCTCTACGGGGCAGGGCGCTTCGGGCTACGGGGCGCTACGAGGTGCGCGGGTGGTGGGCCCATGACTATCAAGAGGAAAATCGCCTAGGAAAAATCGCCTAGGAAACTCGCTCTATACCATGTTACGATATGAAACTCTAAAAATGAATGATAGAAATGTGAAGTACAACCCTAGATATTGCAAACCCTAATCATGCAAGGAAATAGAAATGCAACACCTAGACTAACCTAAACAACACATATAAAATATATGTTGACACTTGCTTCGCCGGGGCGGCGTAGTTCACCTGCGGCAGGAGCTCCATGGACCGCTCGGCCTCCTGCATCGCCTCATCCCTGAGAATGTACGAGGTCAGGGAGTCCTCGTTGAGTGTCGCCCGCGTGCTCGGCACCACCGACATCCGCTTCATCAGGTTGTAGCTGCTCAGGAGCCCCTTCAGGACGTGGGTGACGTACGACGCCGTGGAGTACTGCACGCCGGCCATCCTCATGGTGGCGAGAAGTTGTCGAGCCCGGTTGCAGTAGCCGGTCGCAATCTCCTGGTCGCCCATCCGTAGATGCGTCATCTGCTCCTCGAGCTGGCCGATGTATAGGTCATCGGTGACCTGGTACGTCGACTCGATGAAGTGCCACGCCTGGTGGCCGGCGTCCAGGTAGTCCCTGCACGGCTTCAGGGCGATCTGCACGCTCGGCGAGCAGCACCGCAAGATGACCGTGAAGGTCAGCAGCTGCACAACGCGAAACTCCGCACGCAACTCAGGGTTGCTCTCCGACGACGTCGCCACGGTGCACTTCAACCCGACCATCTCTAGCTGGGGCTCGATCGCCTCCTTCCACGTGAGGATGTCGGGACGACCAACCAGCAAGGGGGTGACCGAGATTCTGTTCGGCGTAAACTTGAAGTAGCCGTAGCTCGGTGCTATCCCACCTGCTGTCACGCGAGTCGCCGACGACGGCGTCAATCCGCTTAGTCGACCTCCGACGTCGCCCTGCGAGGACCCTGCAGCCGCCGACGACTGCTGCCCTCGCGCCTGAACGCCGCCGACTTCATCGGCGTGGATAACTCCTCTATGCCTCGATGTGCCTCCCGCACTGCTGCCGACCTGGTCACCACCGGCGTTGGTGCCCACGTTGACGCCGCCTGCTATGTTCACCGGTCGAGGAGAAGCTGGTCGAGAAGGGTGCTCCGACGCCCACACAGCGCGGATGCCAGCCTCGACGACCGCCCAGGGGAGCGTCTCCCTGTACTCGCGAGCATCATGGCGTCTCCTCGCATCCTCCAGCCGTGCCTCCAGGGTGTCCACCACCCCTGCGTCACCTACGGCGCCTACCATGGTGACTATCGCACAGCTGCCGGCCTACGAACACAATAGGTAAGTGCAAAAGTCGGCTATACCGAAGGTATCGTTGCGGTGCCGTCCACGCTCACCGCACCATGCGGAGATAACTAATTCAACGGGAGCTGGACTACGGGTTAGGCACGGGGCTAGACTGATCTTTGCGTTCCTTAGTCGTTTTCCTTGTGTGCTCGCTGCATGCTAGTTCACGGGGAGAATTGGCAAGAGTTCCACTAAGGAAAATTGACAACAATGATGCAGAATGGCAAGGCAACAATGACTACATCAGAGCTAGCATGCAAGTCACTGCCAGCGCAGCACGGTCGACCGCGTTCCAGCACGACTTGGTCGATCGCGCTCCAGTAGTGCACTGGCGCGGCCCGCCAACACTGCAGGTCGACGGCGTGCCAACGTTGCTCCCGCAGGACAGCATCGCACCTGCTTCGCAGGTGCTCGCAGATGATTGGCGTGCCGTGCCTTGTCACCTGCACAACGCACACACCAAATCGACCTCGTGCTGACGACTGCATCTGATCAGCCACGTCCACCTCGGGATACCACACCGAGGTCGGCCTCGCCACGAACACCTGGGAGACCGTCGCAGTTCTCCGCAGAACCCCGTCGCCCGGGTAACCTGGTCGACCGGGCAACCTCCTCGTCGACCAGCTCCTCCTTGTGCCCGTCGACCACCCAGGTCGACGACCACCACCAGTCGACTACACCAAGTCGACCGCGCACCTGGTCGGCCAGCCCCAAGTCGACCACACTCCTGGTCGACCAACCCCAGGTCGACCAGCACACCTGTCAGCCGACCACACCCAGTCGGCTTCCCCGGGCCAGCGTACCAACTCGACGCCTCCGATGTCGACCTCGCCAAGTCGACCACCCGAAGTCGGCGCCCTCCCAAGGTCGGCGCCCTTGCAGTGGCCCCCGTGCAGGTCGACCAGCCCCGTCGACCAGCTTGCCCACTGCTGCAGGTCGGCTGCACCTCCCGCACACCCGACCACGCGGTCGGCTCCGCCCAAGCGAGGACGGGGCCAACACAACTCCCGTTGACATATACCACTTAGCAGCCGCCAGTGCTGTCAGCTCCTCATCGGTCCACTGGCGTTTCGTTTTGGAGCCACGCTTGCGTTGAGGCGGTCTCGGGACCCTGGGCTTCGTACTGGATAGCAGCTGAGGAGGCAGAGATGGCATCTTATAGGTCCACAGGCACCTACGTCGACGCCGTCCCGCCGCCTGGGGCGAACGTTGTCAGTGGCATGTGGCTCTACAAGGTGAAGCGGCCACCTGGAGCACCACCAGTGTTCAAGGAGCGCTACGTGGCGAGAGGCTTCAGTCAGCGAGAGGGGGTAGACTTCTTCCATACCTTCGCTCCCACCCCGAAGATGACCACTCTTCGGGTGTTGCTACATATTGCAGCACAGCGCGACTACGAGTTGCACTCCTTGGACTTCTCCACCGCGTTCCTTCAGGGGAGCCTGCACTAGCAGATCTGGCTACGTCATCCGCCTGGCTTCACTGACACTTTCCCTCCTAGGACCCAGTGGCAGCTGCGTCGACCAGTCTACGGCCTGCGCCAGGCTCCCCGCGAGTGGCACGACACGCTACGTACAACTCTTGAAACGCTTGACTTCTTTCCGTCGTCAGCCGACCCGTCGCTGTTCGTCCGCCGTGGCTCGACCCCGTTCTTTGTTCTGGTCTACGTTGACGACCTGGTCTTCGCCACTCCCGACCGACGCGCACTGGCCTCCGTGAAGGAGGAACTGCAGAGGTGACACACTTGCACTGACCTTGGTGAGCTGCAGCGCTACCTTGGCCCGCAGATCACCAGGGACAGGGCAGCTCGCACCTGTCACAATGTAATATTTACTAAAAACAGAAAGTACAAAGAAGATATATGCAAAACCTAACCATAGTGCAAGTACAAA